GAAAAAGCAAATTTCCTGATACAAAAAGGACACAATTCGTCTATACTTGAGAAAAAGGACCAACACATACTGGCACAGGCAGATCGATTTAGAAGCAGAAACAAACTGGATGATGTAGAAATGAAAGATCAAGAACAAGAAGAGACAGAAAGTCACAAAAGTGAAACAGAACAAGAAATGGAAGAAAGTGAGAATGAAAAGATAGACGAATACGAAGAAAATGAAGAGAGACTGAGATCACCATTAAAGAGAAAGCAAGAAAGACAACAGGATGGACAACACAATACGAAAATAATCAGGAATAGTAAAAGATAGGGTATACGACCTCTCCGATTCAGGGAGGTGTAGTATCGTATGCAAATTAGATAGACAAGTATAAATAGAGAACAACTGGCTAACATAGGGTAGCTATATCTAGCAAAACCGGTTGCTATTCAGGACACGAAGAACTGTACTACGACTACTACTACGCAGAGAGATAGCAAAGCACAACAATCTGAAAATTAATTAAACATTTATAGATTTTATTGCATTAAAAAGAAGAATAATTGGAAAAACGTCAACCTTATCAAAAAAAAAAAAATTTTTTCCAATATAAAGAAACGGGAATATGTTTAAATATTCATTAATTATAAGAGATCACCGGAAATAGAATTTTTAATGCCTGATAAAACATCCATTGCAAAGATGGAGGAGAATTTAACTTTATATTTATTAACATTTTCTGCAATTATTGTTGTAATAACTGTATTTATTAAAGTAAAATTTAAAAAAATCAAATCAAAGAAAGCTAACGGAAATATTTTTTAAAGTAAATATTCCTTACTCTCAAGAAATTGAAATAAAATTCTTCTAGGCTGTAGACTTAGTGTCACTATAATGGAGCAGCCAATGAAAATCGAACTCACTTCAGAAGCAACAGGTTGCAAGTCTAGCTTGTTAAGATAGTATACTGTAGTAGTTTTAACGATTTACCATTGATTTTACTACTATTACTAATTCAAAAGAATAAGCCCTTTAAATACATGGATGAGGAGGAGAAGGAGGAAGAGAAGGAGGATGGCACAGGGCCTGTCATTATTGCTATTACTTATTTAATTATTGCAATATAAATTTTAGGGGTCCGGTGAATGTTTTAGTTCAACATTCAAATTATAAATCAATTCATCCAAAGCAAGGGCATAGTGCTGCTAAGATGCAAGAGGGTTACTGGGAGTAAAAGAGAATGAGAAGACTTTAGAAGGAACCGGAAAATCCAAACCCAAATAGGAAACAAGGGATAAACCTCTACTCCTGTTCAAAAGACCATGTGAACCGGATGATAGGCGAACATGTCTATTCCCAGTGTTATTTTAAGTGACGAAATTTCTGTGTGTATTTCTAAAAGCGCATTATTTGTCTCCCACCCCGGTTCCAGCGTATTGTTTGCCGGGGGTAGTTGCTAAATTCTGTCTTTCGGAGTTTTTTTTTCTTTTACTTTTTCGTTCTATTCCTTTTAGGAGTTTAGTTTTATACTTTTCTTCTATGCTGATTTATTTCTTACTTTGAAGTAAACAATTCTTTCGACAATTCTTTTATTTTGTATCTTTCTTTCTTTCTTTCTTAAAAATCCCATCGTACTTTTTTTATTCGTTCGTTTTTTTCCATTAAGAACCGAACATTTCTTTGTAGTTCTTTACTCTAAAAAAACGAAACAAATGATTACTTTTCTTTCTTTCTTTCTTTCTTTCTTTATTTCTTTCTTTCTTTCTTTCTTTCTTTCTTAAAAATTCAATTTTTCTTGTTTTTTTAGTTCGATTTTTGCATTAAAAGCCCCACATTTCTTTGTAGTTCTTTTTCTCTAAAAACAAACGATTTCTTTCTTTCTTTCTTTCTTTCTTTCTTTCTTTCTTTCTTTCTTTCTTTCTATTTCATTTTATTCTTCCATTTATTTTGCATTTTTTCTTTTTTTTTATTCCTTGCCGCACTTTCCTACTGTCCCTTTCTCTTTCTGCTCCTCTTACTCTTCCCCACTCAAAATATCTACCCAACCTCGCCATATGTCCACCACCAGCGACGCAGGTCCACCGCATTGATTGCAACAATAGCCTAAAAGCTAACCAAGTTGAAAATCCAGCACTTCATGCGACGCGACTTCCGGTTTTCAAGTAATCGTTGGTTGCATATATCGCACTGCCCGCCTCTTTTATTATATGACACCAGTGATGTGCGTAACAGCGCAGTAACATTTTCTTGGTTTGAATACCGCATCGCCATGCAAATCTGCGTGCATGTACGCACCCAGAAATTGCAAAAAGCACGCAGCAATTGGTAAGAATTCTAATCCCATATGGCATAGAAAGCAAAGTGAAAATACATAAATAAATAAAAGGAGGAGTCTACGTCACATCGCTCTGTGTGGCAAGATATAGCGCAAAACACCAGAAATTTTCCATCGGATAGAACACATCGTCAACACAACGCATATTACGCGTGACCAGATTACAAAAGTGGCTAGAATTATATCACTATGACATAAAAGTTATTAGATTGATGAAAATTTATCAGTTTCTTTTCTTGACAAAAATCTTTTATTGCTATAAATTTGTAGTCATTAATATATTTCTTTGCCTTTTAATAACATTGAGCAAACACGGAAACTACAAAAGCTCGTACAGAAGATAGTCAAGAAAAGCGAGAAGAAAGGACTAAGTTGTTATGAATAATCAAGAGTCGTCTCCCCTTGTTGTGTTACTCTCCTCTTTAAGAGATCTATTTCTGTTTACTGGGACTATAAAAGAACACTATACGCGAACCTTGGATTCTTAGTTGAATAAAGCTTTCTTAAAGCCTACACCTGTGTACTTTTTTCATTACATAAGTATAAAATACAAGAAGTCAGAATGCATGCTTATCAACAAAATACAAATTAAAAATCGGCGATACTAAAATCACACAAGTTCAAGAATTCAAATATCTTGGGCATGTTCTAACAGAGGACGGAAAGTACGACAATGAAATTGGAAGACGTATTGGGATGGTCAAAGATGCTTTCCAAAAACTAAGCAGAGTATTAAGAGACAGAAAAATTTCGTTAGGAACAAATAAAAGAGTATTGAACTGTTACGTGATATCTGTCCACCTGTATCGCAGTGAAGGCTTGACAATCTCCTCAAAGATAAAGAAGAGACTGGAAGTAACAGAAATGTGATTCTACAAAAAGACAATGAGGATACCATGGACTGAACATGTGAGCAACGACGAGGTTTTGGAGAAAATCGAAAACAGAACAGAAACTTAAACTTGACATCAGTAAGACATTTAAGATTTCACATAAAAGAGGAAATCGGACTTGGAAAATTCGATACTCACAAGGGAGACCAAGAGAGAGAGAGAGAGAGAGAGAGAGAGAGAGAGAGAAGCAGCGCGAAACATACTTGATGAGATTGACTAAATGGATTGTAGAACAGGGTTTGGGAGAAATAAAAAGAAGTCCAAACTTATTACCGTCCTGGGTATAACCATATACTACATCCGCGTCCTGGGTAAGACGGTGAACTACATCCGCGTCCTGGGTAAGACGATGAACTACATCCGCGTCCTGGGTAAGACGATGAACTACATCCGCGTCCAGGGTAAGACGATAAACTACATCCAACAGAAAGGCCTCTGATCAGGAGGTTTTGAAGAACGTGAAGCCACCTCTTAATTTCTGTTGTTACCCAGGTACACCCTGACCCGGGCAGGTAGAACCTGTTAGGGTCAGAGCTATGGGTGTTAATAGTTAACCCCCAAACCGGGGTTAGGACATTATGAAAGGGTAAAAATAGATTTTAATACCATAAATATTTAATTATTATCAGAAATTATTTTTTTAAGAAAAAAACCAGCAATACATTTTTGAAAAAAATATAGCAGCTATACATTTGAAAAAAAATTACCAGCAATACATTTTTGAAAAGAAAATATTACCAGCAATAAAAATCTTGTCGGCATTAAATAACCCACTGAGGTTGATATGCCGTAAAACAAACCAAACCAAACCAAACTTATTAAGAGCTACAAGGAACAGGAAGATGTGGTGGGCCACAATCTCCTACGTCTTGAAGGGATATAGCACATAAAAGAAGAAGACGTTAGGCTTCCCATCATTTATAACCTTCAAACTGAGATAGTTTTTATTATAGATTTATGTTCCTGAATAATAAAGATGCTTATATCAAACGGTACTGATCCACCCAAACAGGACGGTCTCAATGAAATCGAGAGATTCCAGTCAAAACCAGAAAAGTCCTGGCCAAACTAAGACCGACTCGATCAAACCGGGATAATCCCAAACTAAACAGAACAGTCTTGGACAAAGCAGGGTATTTCCGACCAAGCCGAGACGTCTGGTAAGTTTATCTATCTAAAAAATACCCTGTTTTAATTTGTTTAATCCTTCGAGGGAGTTTTCCAAAGCTTGAACGTGACGGAACCACTAACCAGAGATTTGGCATTGTATAGCATTGGTTTACGGCCAGAACACGTTGAAACACCGGTTCTTGTACGATTACCGAAGTTAAGCAACGTCGACCCTGGTCAGTAAGTAGATGGGTGACCGTTTGGAAATACCAGGTGCTGTAAACTTGAATGTACTTGTGTTGTAATGGATAATGGCTCGGAATTGTTAATTCCAGTTTGATTCGTTATATTCACTTACACTCAAATACCCTTGAGAAAAGTATGAATCCACATCTTCTCTCCCCTCTATGGGTTAATTAGTAAGACTTTTATCATTAAACCATTATTATCTCCAATAAAAAATCTTACAATCTAAAAATGTTTTCTGACTTTAAATAACTTGCAAACGGTTGATAAGCCGTAGAAAACAAATCAATCAATCAACAACTACATTAATAGTCTGATTAAGTTCATTCTATGGACGAAACGCGTTTTTTTTCATTCAATTATTCGCTATATATCGGCTCTGCTAATAATAATTCAGAGCTATTATCTATCACACCACCCGCATGTCCAAGCTTACAGCACCTGGTATTCCCAAGCGGTCACCCATCTAGTTATTGACTAGTTACTGGCTCAACGTTGCTTAACTTCGGTGATCATACGGGAACTTCGGTATAAACGCGATGTGGTCGCAAGCCAGATGTAGTGTTAATTTAATTTAATTTTTTAACCAAAGGACGTATGAGAAATGACTGTAGAGTGAACTTTGGATACATTTCTAAGATTTCACTAACATTGTACAAATGTTGGTGATAAAAACTTACTGCCAGTTTCATAACTATCTCTACCGAAACGCATATATTCGGAGCTAATTTATATATTTTTGTCTCCCCTACCAATACTGCCCGAATCACACTCCTCCCCGGTTGTTTGAGCAGGAGTATATATATATATATATATATATATATATATATATATATATATGTGTGTGTGTGTGTGTGTGTGTGTGTGTGTGTGTGTGTGTGTTATCACGTGTTTGCTGTTTAAGATTGGTTTTCTCGTTCCTAAATTATGCTTCAGCTCCTAACACACGCTTATCCTTTCCTACGCTAATATAACTCCACACAGTAACACTCTACCTTGAGTGACTCTTGGGCTTTGTATTGGGTGAACATTAGTTAAAAAAAAAAGAAGGAAAAAAGGATGTTTTGTATGAATCCAACAGATTCATCCAGTAAAATTGCTTTCAAAATTGCAAGCCTGCAATTTTACATTACATTTGGTCCTATTTGTTAAATTTGCGGTTAACTTATATGTTAAGTCAACTGTATTCTACAAATAAATAAAAATTTCCAGGAATAGTATTTTCCTATATATATGTATATGTGTGTAGGAGAAGTGTTTGCGAGTGTGTGTGTGTGTGTGAAGCAAAAGGACATGAAGAAGAAGCAGAAAGTAGTCAAATATGTAAAAAGAGATGGTCCTGTTTGTAAGTCAGCGTTAAATCCTTCGTAAGCAGTTTAAGCTTAGTATAAAAACAATGGTATCAAAAAAATCACATAAGATTATAGACAGGTACTCCTACATATAAATGGGTGCGAACGTACGAAAACCATTCATAAGAATAGCTTAGTTACATATAATATATATATATATATATATATATATATATATATATATATATGTGTGTGTGTGTGTGTGTGTGTGTGTGTGTGTGTGTGTGTGTGGTGTGTACGGAGATAGATAGATAGACAGATAGATCGAGGTTGAGCCAAAAGGTACTTTTAACGTAATAGTATTTTAAAAGTAATTGTTTTTCAGCTTACATATGAATTTTCATATGAATCTTTTATAATTCATATTTTTATTTATTTTGTTATAGTTTTAATTTTTTTTAATTTTTGTATTTTATAATATTACGGCAAAGCAGCATTAGAACAATAATATGTCTGTGTGTCGTGTGTGCACACACACACACACACACACACACACACACACACACACATATATATATATATATATATATATATATATATATATATATATATAAATATAACACCGTGATATATATATAACACCGTGATGTTGATTGGATATATCATTCAACTCTTTCCGTATCCTCTGCACTCTCCTCGGATTGACGCCCAAACACACTGAAATGTTCGGAATGGAGCTTCCGGCGCCAATGCCAAACATTACAGCATGCCGTTTTTAAATTTCTGGCGAAGGGAATTGCATCATGGTGCTTTTTTCTCATAGACGGTGCCCAACGGACCCTACTATACGGTCCAGTCAACAAGCATGAAAAAATCGATTATTTTCACTATCGTTTGGAGTTGGGAAATGCAAAGTCGGTCTTGGCCTTCCCGCTAACTTGGAGCATGTGCATGTAAATTTTGGTGCAAATCCGTCGAAAATTGCGGCCGTGCATTCGTCACACACACACACACACACACACACACACACACACACACACACACACACACACACACACACGCGCACACACACACGCACGCACATACATCCTGCCTTTTATAGTAAGAGATAAAATATAAATATTTATATCTTATATATTTATATATTTTATAAATATATAAATTTAATATATAAAATTATATATATATATATATATGTATATATATATTTTTTTGTTCATAAAAAAGAAGAAAAAATAAGAGAATCATAAACAAAGAAATTATATATATATATATATATATATATATATATATATAATTTTTTGTTCATAATTGTTTTTTTTTTTTTCGGTTCGAACCAATTTTTAGGTGTTTTCAGTGAGAGTTAACATAAATTGTGGCGTGTCTTTTATGGACTTTTGTCTTTGATGATGCTTTATCAACGAAACATTTGTGGCCGAATAAGGATATGCCTGTAGATTTACTGTGTTTCTTCAGTACTTTTCGTGTGCCGTCTTCGTTTTTACTTAGACGTACGCTTATTAACATTTCTGTCGAAATAGAAAATGATCCGAACTGAAGCCAAAAAGAAACCCAAAGAAATAATTTTCGTTGGTCTTCAACAAAACCTACAAAAATGATTAGTTGCTTCTTAAATTCAACCAGACAATTACTTATCTCCAACAAAAACTTGTGTCTTGTCGATTAAAACTTTAATATATGAGTTCTTACTATATCCTTACTTTCAATAGTGCCTTGCAAAGAAAAGCAACACTTAATTAATGTTGAATTAAACGGTTGCGAAGTCAACATTTTTTTTATCTTATAATCAAGTATTTAATCATTTATATAACAATCAATTTGAAGTGTGTCGTATAAATCATTGTCAGTTCAGGCAACTTGTGTATGCATATATAAATATATGCGCAAGAAGGGGAATATGCAGTTCATATATGTATATGTGTCATATGGAGTATATCCGTAAAAGATATAAAGACAAAAGGAAAACTTATCTTAGCCGACGTGTTTCATCCTCTGAGAGACTTTATCAAGGCAAATGTAATGATTTTCTTTTGTGATAAATATTTATATGCAAGAGCCAAAATGTCATTGGCTTTTCAATTTTTGTTTTTTAGATATAGGCGTACTAATGAATGCACAACAGGTTAGCCGAAAAGTCAGGCAAGTTGATGGACATTACGTGATACAATTCAATGCCTAATAAATGAAAGTGAGTAAGTGATGTTTACACACACACACACACACACACACACACATATATATATATATATATATATATATATATATATGCAATTTAAATTACATTAACCTTGATAATGTCCCTCAGAGGGCAAAACGCGTCGGTTAAGATAAGTCTTCCGTTTGTATTATATATATATATATATATATATATATATATATATATATATATATATATATATACAGGAGTTGCAAAATTAGGTATATAGTAAGTACTAGCAGTAGAGCCCGGCGCTGCCCGGGGATATAACAGTAAGAGATAGATCAAGTATCCACCATCATAAAGACTGAAAAATAAAATTGACAAAGATTATTGTTTAAGGTTGACGGACACGCATGTCTTAATTAGTTTTTTTTTTTTTACGAATTGGTCAAACCCAAACTCAAACAAAAACATTGTTTTCAGTCTCTACCGATTGAATAGAATTTTATTATAAACAATTGTCTTGTAAATGGAATTTTTAAAGCATTCTGAATGTAAAAATAAAGAAAAAAGTGTGCAAGACAATAAGAAACACTACATGCCAAAAAAAAAAGTTTTGTTGAAATCGGTTGAAAAATGTAGGTAGCCTTTCTGTAATCTTTTAGTTTTACAATTTATGATTTTTACTTATTGAATACAGTAAAAAAATTGCATATTTTGCTTGTGGTGATTCATAATTAGAATTCTGATTTGAATATATTTTCCACTCGTTGTTTCTAATACAAAAAATATTAACTTTATTTGGGTTTATTAATTATGATCTAACAAATCTTATTCATTTAGTAGCCTTTCTGTAATAATAATCTTTTACAATTTATGATTTTTACTTATTGAATACAGTAAAAAAATTGGACACCATGTGTATTTAAAGTAGTTTCCGGTTATTATTTTTAGTTAGGAGGACTTGTGTATGTTTAGATTTCATTATCTTTCCCTAAAGATAAAGAATTATCCGATGTTTGGATTCGTACAATCAGTAGAGATCGTTAGATTATTGTTTAAGGTTGACGGACACGCATGTCTTAATTAGTTTTTTTTTTTTACGAATTGGTCAAACCCAAACTCAAACAAAAACATTGTTTTCAATCGTTATGAGTCTCCCGATTGAATAGAATTTTATTATAAACAATTGTCTTGTAAATGGAATTTTTAAAGCATTCTGAATATTAAAAATAAAGAAAAAAGTGTGCAAGAGAATAAGAAACACTACCTGCCAAAAAAAAAAAAAAGTGAATTTTTGTTTTATCGGCTGAAAAATGTAGGAAATCCGATCCCATATATAAAGGAATACACACTCACAAACAACCTGGGTTTTTAACCCGATGTGAGTTGTCCCCTTTCATTCACACGATGTCTCTTAATCGTGTTTTCAAATTGATTTTGTGCAAAAACAATTGTATTTTTCCCATTTTTGGCGCTGTTAGAACCACCGCAAGGTAATTTTATGTAGTCCTGTGAAGTTTTGTTGAAATCGGTTGAAAAATGTAGGAAATCCGATCCAATATATAAACGTTACACACACACACACACACACATACACACACACAATCTGCGTTTTATAATAAGTAAGATTATTGGTGTTATTGATATCTTTGTATAATCAATACAATAAGTTTTGTGCGCATTACTCTAGATACAAAAAAATATGAATAATCTAAGGTCTAAATGACTAAACATTTCAGTTAACCTGTTGAATATTTTTAAGCGTCTTTGAATTCAAAAATATATATTTATATAAGAGTGGACACTGAGATCAACACCGATTCGCGATAGTTTTTTTTGGGAAACTAGTAGGTAATCATCATTTATATATATATGTATATATATATATATATATATATATATATATATATATATATACACGTCCCTGGTAATTTTTAAACTGGGTCCAGAAGTAGTTGTTTTGTCTTTTAAATAAGAGAAAATTGTTATACATGGCTAAAAAAAGTGAGAGATGATTTTTATTAGAAATTTTATTATGATAAAAAAATAAAAATAAAAATAATTTTATAATTAAATTTTGCCCTCGTCGAAATAT